ATGGGGCGCATCTCAGAGTTCTGGTAATGAATGCAGCTTACATGTGTATGGGGGGGGGGGATGCCTTTTACCACAACACTTGCATATGTAGCCAGAACTGAGGAGGCTATACACAATCTCCTGAAAGTATTTTGGTATTGAAATTATATCTAGCAAGACTGTAATAAGGAATACAAATTTAAGATTACCAAGGGAGGTTTATAAGAAGAATAGATTCAGATCACCACAGACATCATTTAGTCTAGCCCCTGCTAAAGTATTTCAGACACAGGCAACAATAATAGCCTGTTGCAGCTGAGATGCAAAATAACATGCATAAATATAGGGAGAGGAAGTAACCGTAGATATATAGAAAAAGAGGGTTCATGTATAGAAAAGCAGGGGTACTTAATGCTGAGGATCATGTGAATATGGGGTGTACACCTTTCACAGTGTCCATCGAACTCGCATATTCAACCTTTGTGAATCCAACCTGACTTGATTTTAACAGGACCTTTGGAATACCAAAAGAGAGCCAGTTTAGTGTAGTAGTTAAGGCACCAGTCTAGAAACCAGGAGAATGTGAGTTTTAGTCCTGCCTTGGTCATGAAGGCAGTTGGGTAATCTTGGGCCTGTCATTCTCTTTCAGTCCTAAGAAGAAGGCAATGACAAGGCACTTCTGAAATCTTGCCACAAAAAATGCAGGGACTTATCCAGGCAGTGGTGAGAAGTCAGTGCTGACTCGAAGGCACAAAATAATAGCAATACTAATAGCAACAACAACAACAAAGAAGAAAAAAAGCCAAACAAGGCACCACCAAAATGGAAGATCAGGTTGGAAAATAAGATCAGCATGCTAAGATCAGGTGTAAGCAAGTTAGAACAGATGAAAAAAAGAAGCCAAAGAACAAAAAACCAAAGAATACCTGATCAAGAAATTTCAACTAGAAACAAGGAAGATCAAGGAAGCACTGGAAATAATAAAGCAGCAAGTAACAGCCGTAGCCATGAAAATCAGCAGATATGAAGCTTGAATTGCACACTATAGACAGAATCTCCTATTTCAGTTGAATTAGAAACATTTCTGTCAATCCGTCAATGGAGATACTGCAATGAGCCAGTCAACATCTGACAAAGAAGAAACAGTGCAGTAATGGGCGCAGCTATGGGACAACCCAAACAAATACAACAAAAATGCAGCTTGGATAAAGGAGGTGGATAAGAATAAAAAAGAAGCTGAAATGAAAGAACTTGTAATAATAGCAGAAATGGTGGAGAAAAGGACAAGGAAGATCAAGAATTGGTCAACACCAGCTGCATGGTTTTTGGTTGAAACATCTGACTGGTCTGCACCCACTCACTGCCAACAGCATACTACAAGGAGGTGAAATTGTGATGGAATGTATCTATGAAGAGGGGGTGATGTGAGAGATCAAGGCTATGAGGAAGGAGGTGCATTCTGGGAGGGTTAAGGAGACAAAAGACAACACAATCCATAGGAGGAGCATGGGAAGCGAAAGAGATTCAGGATAGCCACTTCCTAGAATCTCCCGGGGTATATCCACTTGTTGCAGTAGTATAGATTTAGTCTGGCATGATTCTGTCTATAAGGTGTAGACAAATAAAGGAACTTTACTCAACTGGACTGTTTCACCATTGTTTTTGGGTTGGGCCTGACAGAAATTGAAGATTGGTTAACATCTGGCAAAAGCTACCTGATAATGAAAGATCCAACAAAAGGGGCAGCACCAAGCAACTACAGGCCAATTACCTGCTTACCAACAACTTTCATTGCTAACTGGTGTTATAGCTGATGCAGTCCAACGGCATCTAGTTGAAAACAAGCTCGTTCCACCTGAGCAGAAAGGAAATTGCCCAAACAGCAGAGGAATAAAAGATCAGTTCCTAATTGACAAGATGATTTTGGAAAACTGCAAGAGAAGGAATACCAACTTGAATGTAGCTTGGATTGATTACAAGAAGGCATTCAACTCCCTGCCACATGATTTAGTAGAAACATCAGAAGCTTTGTGCAAAGATCAATGGCACAATGGAAGACACAGTTGCTGGTCAATGGTGATAGGCTGGGAGAGGTTAACATCAAGAGAGGAATCTTTCAAGGAGACTCACTATCACCACTACTGTTTGTCATTGCACTGATTCCTCTGTCAACAATACTGAACAGGTCAGGCCTGTGGCTGTCAAACAACAAAAACATCTGCCAGGCTATCCCACCTTCTTTACATGGATATTCTGAAGCTGTCTGGAAAAACACTATCTGAAATGGAATTACTGGTCAACATTGTCCAAATATAGCCAAGATATTACAAGGAAGTTTGGACTGGACAAATGTGCCACCCTTACCATCAACAGGGGAAAAATAGTGAAAACTGAAGGATCAAAATGCCCTGTGGAAATAACATCAAGAGTTTGGATGAAGAAGATCATTACAAATACCTGGGCATCCTTCAAGCTGACAACATCAAGCACGCTGAAGTCAAGAAGAAGGTTAATAGTGAATACATCATGAGAGTGGAGAAGATCAAAACATAGAAGATCAAAACGCCATTGACAGACTCTACTTACCAAGGTGCGTAGGTGGGTGTGGGTGTGGAATCTTGCAAGTACACCAGACAGTTGAAAAAGGAAAAGGGGCATTAGAAGAATATCTGAAGGAGAGTGAATAAGATGCACTGAAACTAGTATACCATAAAGGCTTACTGAATACCGAAGAGACCAAACTGGTTTACAAGAAAGACCAAATGAAGAATAGAAAAGAGACATGACAAGGCAAAGTATTCCATGGCCAGTAGACAAAAAAAAGTAGCAGGCAAAGCAGATAACAACAAGACCTGGCAATGGCTAAGAGCAGGAAAGTTGAAGAAAGAGACAGAGGGGCTAATTCTGGCTGCACAAAAACAAATGCATACAAAACCAGAATCGAGAAGACAGCAACAAACAGCAAATGCTGCCTCTGCAAAGAAGCTGAAGAAACAGTGGACC